ATACTTTCTTGTGGCTAAGAGGGACAAGTGGCATTCGTTGGATAAAGGACTTCATGCATTGTGACACTTGTCGGAAGATGATGGCCTTAGGAAATTATTGTTAGTTATTTTTACTATTATAAATAGGAGTCTTAGACATAGAATTCAATGTGTTGTAATTTACTATTTGTGCAAGTCACTCCTAAGTTTACTCAAAGTATCTGAGTGCAGAGAAAAGAGTATCAAGGAGAATGTACGTTATGTAAACACACCATTTTACTTTTCAATGAAGTTTACTTTATTTGCTTAACTTTACAAAGTTTTCTTTACTTTTCTTGCAACCTCTCTCTTTTCTATGCACTTTACTTTATCTTCGTCCTCAATCCTTTTCTAAGACTTCTATCCCATTCTATTTAAAACTCTATCTTCTATTTCCTTTCAGTCGAATAGGAAATCTTATTATTTAAACCTTGTACCACAAAACTGTCAAAGTGTGAACCTTGGATAGATTTCAAAACATAATTTTTTAGTACATGTCCTAGGATCAATTTGATCGATCCTGTGAGTCGCTAAAGTTAGATTTGGAAGATCAACGGTTGTTTTCCATTTTTCAAAGGAAATACTCTGCCCGTCTAACAACTAGTTTCTGGAAGTTACCTATTCTTCGGGAAACGATTATCTCGCCCCAAAAATAGGGACCAATGGCCAAGCACCAGAGGAAATCTAAAACCCTCTCATTTGAGAGGGTCATGTATTCAATATTCACCTTAATATACACATATTCTGTACTTGTCTTCTTTCTCCCGATTCTTACTTTAGCATCGGAGTGCCTTGCAGGTACACCCCCTCCTCCTCTCTCACACCCAACATCACAGACGATTATCTCTGGCCTAATTCAGGTTTTGATCAGCCGTCAAGATCAGTGGCACCGTCTGTGGGAAATATGTTATCCCCGTCTTTCTTCCATCGTAGATTCAAGACCAAAACAATTCTTCCAAACTCCGATCATGGCCATCCATGACAACATCCATGATGCTTGCAACTCTGCCTTCCTCCCCATCAGCAAGGTTGATGCTGACGAAGCAACCACTTCTCTTGGGGGCAACACCCACCAACAAAGGGACGAAGCCACCACTTCTCCCTCCCCCGTTCGCGCTGATCATAATAAGGTCCAGCTCATCCCGAAGCACCTGTCAGTTCTAGTTTTGCCCAACGCCGACCCAGCCATGGCGGCCCTCCTCGAGGCTCTCAACAAGACTAACCTTCTAATCCTCTATTAAAACGCGATAATTGTAGTCCTAGAAGATTCTAGTCATCCAAGATCCCCTCTCAATAAGGAGTGTTTCAGCTAGCTTGCTATGCGAACTCTAGCGAAGGGAAAGCGAGGCATGTTACTATAGAGGCAATAACTAATTTGTTCCATGGTCGTTGTGAGAGCTTTAGCGAAATGTGCTCACAGTGTGAGCTATAGCACGCTAGGCGAGCTGAGATATTTTCTTCAGAGAGGTTTAAGTTTTCTGAGGTACTTGAAGTGCCTAAAAGTTGACATCTCTATGCGAGGTAGAGCTCACTAGGCGAGCCTGCGCTGATTGTGAAAGATATTTATGTACTTTTGTTGCCTTTTTGGATCATAATCTTTTTTCCTAACATTTCCTAAGACACCAAAAACCCTAAGAATTCCATTTTTTAATCTAAGAGGTGATCTTCATAAAATCGGAGCTGGATTTGCATTCATTGTCGATTCTTCAACTTGAATTCACATTCATCTCCTTCAATTTCTTGTGAATCAAGCTACCATGGTTATGAGTAGCTAAATCCCTTGTATCAAGAATATATGTAATCTTTCTTAACTTGTATGTTTTCTTTTAATCTTTTGTATGTGAACAAAGTTGATGATCAATGTATGATGAATATATTTACTTTTAATGTTATATATTTGATTTGAATCACTATTGAAAGGTATTTTTTAAACCTTGACCCAAGTTATTCATCTACCAATAAAGAAGCTCTAGACGTAGATTTGTGAGTTGATATTCACTTTGTATATATTGATTGTAACAAAGTTCGCATGCTTGATTAATGGAATACATGCAATGTAGGTTGATGAAATCTATTCTTGATATGTCTTTTAAAACAAACATCTTTCTAGACTTTACTCTTTGCTACAAAACTCTTGTGAAATTTATGACACCAAGCAAAACCAGTCTAAAACCATCACTTAAGACTATATAAACTGTAGAACGGCGGTGATATCACGATAATCCCTATGGAGACGATAAAACTATTACCCACCTAATATACTTTCAACAGACGCCCAACCACAATATCAAGAGTTTCCCCCATACCATCACCAACAAAATGACTATTATCAAGACACCCAAAATGCATATGTCCCCAACACAACGTCAAGATATAGCCAAAAACGTCCAAACATCATACCATAGCCAAAACGCCCAAACATCGTACCATAGACAAAACGCCCAAACATCACACCATAACCGATACACACAAATATCACAACAACCCTATGGATTTTAAACACCACTAACCATTATAACCTTTTACCAACGAATTCTTCACACCAATGTCCCCTTTCAATCGTCTAGGTCGCACACCAATCACCCCTTCATCACATCCCAACTACTTTGGCATGGGTTCAAACTCAGTTTCAACACACAAGACTTCTTAGAAATGCAATAATTTCTTAGGGATCCTGCTGGAGATGTTTCTGAAACCTCAAATCAAATCCTTAAACACATGGAGTAAATCAACAACGAGGATAACGAGTAAGGGTAGCTAGGGTATGTGGAACCGATGGCCAGTATGACCAACCCGGTCGTCATCATTAGTTTATGTAATATTATTTTTAATTAAATATTAATATTAATTATTTATACTTAAAATTTTATGATTACACACTGCCTTCAAACCAATTGGCGACACCTTTCAAATATAACACAATGTCATCAATTGGATTGGAGACACCATATGATATCTCCAATCCAATTGGCGACACCACTTAAGGTTAGAGAGTAGTCGCCATTTGGGTTGACGCTAGCACTTAATCTCACCCTCAAAGTGGGGTATTTTGAAAAATAATGCGAAAAGTGGGTTATTTTGAATTTTCTTTTTTTGAAAATGTGGGTTATTTAGGTAAAAAAATTGTTTTGAATTTTGATTTTTAATTTTGAAAATTAAAATAAAGAAAAAAATTAAAGAAAATAGAACACTTTTCATTAATGACAAGTTTGTAATATTGTTCGACTTTAAAATAATTTTTAAAAATTAATTTATTAAACATGTTTTATTTTATTTTTTTCTTCAAAACTCTTTTATAAAATTAATTTACAAAATTAAAAATCAGAACTCATTGAAACGGTGGCAGTGATTTGAAATTAGTAGAAAGCCCGTAGAAAAAACATAGAAGAAAAATTAAAAAAACATCCTAATAACAATAATATGGTTATTAAAGTAGTATAGTGGTGGCAGTGATTTGAAATTAGTAGAAAGCCCATAGAAAAATTAAAACGAATATCTAGTGCATATTGGGTTGGTAAAGTAATTTCATAGTCTAGGATTCAATTTCAGACAACAATATTAATGATATTAATTTATATTTAAGTATCATTATAAATAAAATTGATATTACAAGTACTTTATATATGCTAATTAAATTAAATTAAATTAAATATTAGTTTAAATTAACTGACAGTATATTTTACACTGCATTTCAATTAAATCTTTTATTTATTTATCTTTATATATTAATATAAATAAATTATTATTATTTTTTTTAATCTTTATATAACAAAACGATGTTTAGATTAGGGATGTAAATGAATATCCATGAGACGTATACTATGATATTTGTATCTGTCCCATTAGATAAATATGATATTCATATCCGCCCCATATTCATACAGATATCCATTAAGCAGGTAATCCGCGAGTTTTACGATATTAGTAGATATTTATAGATATCTATAGATAATATATTTTTTTTATAAAAAACATTTTGAACATTTTTTTAAAAGACAAAAAGTTATTATCACATAACATCCATATGATTCTCTCTTAATTTAACAATAAAATTTCATCACATTAATTTTTTTTTCTTATTTACCAAAACATAATTAGATCCAAACATAATATCCATGCATTTCATTTTTAATCAAACAAATAAAAGATACGGTAGTTGTGTGTTATGATAGAAGAACGGACGACAGATGATTAGGAAGAGAGACATTGGTTCGACAGAAAAATGACACACTAGTTAGTTGAACTCTGAAATTGTTGAAGTGATGTATGAAATATTGAAGAGTTTAAATATGAAATGGATAATAAAATTTGAATCAAATGTGAAAGATTTTCTTTAAAGAAAATATCAATATATATATATATATATATATATATATATATATATATATATATATATATATATATATATATATATATATATATATATATATATATATATATATATATATATATATATATATATATATATATATATATATATATATATATAAAAGAAGACTGATTTCTTTAGAAGATAAAAATATAAGGTATAATAAACTAATGATATTTAAATGATTTTTATAACTTTTTAACGGATATGTATATCCGCGGACACAGATATCATTAAATCCGTATCCATATCCATTAAAAAATTGATATTTAAATATCTATTAAACTATTCGTGAATATCTATTAAACTATCCGCTTATGGCTGTGACGGATTTTATCCGCGGATACGGATTTTTTTTGCCTTCCCTAGTCTAGATGCTAATTTTATGTAGCCATTATCAAGAAGTTATAAAAAAAAAATCCTACTGTAACACATCCAATTCTGAAAAATAAAGGAAACTGTCTTTAGATCCTTAAAGACTTTCCTTTTGCATATTATTGTGTTTATACATATTTACAGAAATTCCATTATTTCACAACAGAAACACATACCATACTCATCATAAAATTTCAAATTCCCTACTTAGGATATCTACCATAATAATATTAAACCTCTAATCAAAAGGATCAATTCGAGGATCATGTTCGCTTGCCATGGCCATTCCAGTGCAAAGACATGTTGGACACATGACCTGCAATCAGAATTCAGTATGACAATTTCAACATTTTTCTCAACCATTATAGGGTATTGTAGTAAAATTCAAATTATGAAGTGAGTACTTTCAAATGACCAACCTTGCCAGATCCCGAGCAGTTTGAACATCTCTCGGTTTTCGGTGGTGATAGAGGCTGATCTGCACCATTGAAGGTGGATAACGGTTCAATCAGAACAAGTGCTCCTGTGCTTGAACAGCGAGCGCAGGCAAGATATCCTAAAACGGAAAAAGTATAATAGCAATGTCAACTTTCTTGCAATTGCTTCAACATATGAAGTTTTAAAATCTTCCAACTGTAATAAACAAAGTTTTTGCTTTGCCATCTCCTAGTAGAAGTTGAAAGTGGTAAAAATTTGCGTTAAGGGAGAGAAAATCCAAAATGCTTCAATTCCATCGTTCAGATCTCGGAAGAGTTCTAGAAATATTACCAGTGCCAAGACAATACTTGCATCTTTTCTGCTCCTGTTGTTTTACATTGTTTATCTCAACAACCATTAATGCAGAGATTACTCCAACCGCTCCACCAGAGAATGATGCCACAATAGGATCAACCTGACTAGAATGTCCAACCGAGTTTAGTCAATATCGCAAAGTCGGAAACAATAAATAGAATGCACTGATATTCATTTCAGCAGATATTAGTTAATGCCAATAAAACATTCCTCTATAGAAAATATAGAAAATACATGACTACTACCTCTGGTTCTATTTATAAAAAAAAAATTATTTTTTAGATTCATTGAATAATCAATGTATACAAAATTATTATATACCTAATACATAAGTTATTCAATGAATCGAAAAAGTAAACTTCTTTTTTATAAATAGGACCTGAAAGAGTATTATTTTACATTTCTTCCTCTTAGAAGAAATACGTAATTAAGCGACAAAAATTCAGGAAAGGGACACTACCTCAACTGCATAGGCAGATGCATATTTTGAATAAAATCTGCGTAAGACGTGCCTCCTATTCCAAGCTTAAGCTCCAACTGAGAAATGATTAGAATATGAGACCAGTTGAAATTAATGCGTTGAAAAATAAATGAAAACACGAAACTAGGTGGTTGTAAATCTTACACTCGGAGCAAGAAGACCACCAAAGAGAATGATCCCACCGATAAGAGAAAAACAGGTTGCGTAATACTGCTTGAGGTTCGCTGAAGTCTGCAGATAACACATGTAGTTGATTATTACCATTTTCAAAACCAAACCCTCTAAATTAAAAGTAAATTCTTCGTGCTCAAAAAGATGAATGGCAAAATCATTGTGCTCACTTATTGAATACGTCAGTGCTGCAGTTCGGAACAAACTACATGAAACTTACCAAAGGAGGCAAGAATGGAATGAATGATGGGAAGTTCGGAAGTTCATTCTCTTGCTCTTCTTGCGAAATTCCAAGTTCAGCATTTTTAATCCTTTGTTGTATTCTAAGCCTGCGAACCTACAAAACGAAGATTTATATTGTTGATAAGCAAAGTATATGCGATTGTCACACACTAAGCTGACAATTGTTTGTGGAACACTATTATTACCGAAATCTGAAGCATGACTAGATTTGACAAGACAAATGGATTGCCTCAAGCTTCATCACATATTTCACATTATCAACTTCATTACAAGTATAAAAGCAGTATATTATAAATTTAGAATGAGTTTGAAAAAGCATTTTTAATCTTTTTGAACTCATCATTTGACATATAAGCACTTAAATGTTCTGAAGAGCTTATGAATTCCACATGCCGGGGAGAATCTAACTATGAATTCCATATTTCGGCATATTGTTAATGACATACCATATTGATATTGATATTAATATTATAGTCTTTCAATTTCAAAGAATCTAGTATCTCAAGTTTTATTGTCCGTTGTGATTATCCTCCCAGTTCCAACTTAACCAACTTAAACAGAGGTCTTGATTCGAATCCAACATTTCAAGTTTTATTGTCCATTATGATTCTCTCATCCTCCCGGTTCCAACTTAATCAACTTAACCAACTTAACCAGAGGTCTTGTTTTGAATCTAGCATTTCAAGTTTTATTGTCCATTGTGATCCTCCCATCCTCTCCAACCGAGATTAGTCTCTAAAGTTGCGAAGTTGAGAATCCATGAGTAATTGACGGTAAGAGATCTCTTCTAACTTACCCAGAGCTCATGGATTCGAATCTAGCATCTCAAATTTTGCTGTCCATTGTGATCCTCCCGGCAACTCAAGGATCAATATCTACCGTTGCGCGCAAAGAATAACCGGTTTTAAAAAAAAAATTAGTTAGTTGAAGAAGAAAATCTTACCTCTTCCATATGTAAGAAAATCTTATTCCTTCTACTTCGAATATTATCCTGAATTTCTTGAAGTTCCATTTTAGCAAAATCTTGTACAGTTTCAGGTCCTTCTATAATGCAGAACCTGTGTTTAAAACAATAAAAAGACGATATAACACCTGAAAATAGGAGGGGTGCATTTCTTAAAAAGAGGAGTTGTAAATAGAAGAATTAGAAAACTCACCCAGTAGCAGCAGCGTTTTTATCGGAGGCATCAGAATCAACAGAAGAAGCAAAAGACGAAGAGTCCGATTCAAGTGCCATGAAACGCCACCTGGTATTGAAATTGAAACCGTTGTTGTTGTTTAGATTAAGGAATCTTTTGTTGTTGATTCTGTAACTGGAATCATAGAGTTGAAGACATTTTGTGGACCCACCAACTACACCTAAGCACAGCATCATGTTCTTTTTCGACTCTCAACTTCGATTTAGGATTGGAAAAAACATGGAATTGGATCGAAAATTGAGGTTGTTGTTGGGAGATTTGAGAATGGAGTTGTTGAAAATAATATGAATATTTTTTTTCTACGGGAAAAATAATTGAATATAAATATGTATTATTGGAAATGGTATTTTTAGTGGAGTTGAGACGGTTGCCTCACTTTTGATTCCACCGCTAAGTACAAAGTCTCAATAAAAAAACAAGAAAATGTGATGGATAATGATATAATAATGAGATATTGACAAATATTGTGGTTGGATTTATGGTGGCTCACACATTTGTGTCCCTTGTTTATGAATAAATATATCCATATGGCTGATATAGACGTTTTGTTAATGAAAGTAAGAAAGAAAAAGAGATTATCTACCATATAATAACATATAAGAACAAATTATGTTCTGTAAATTTCTATTTTATTCTGTTGGTCTCATACTGTGGCAAGTGACTTGTTAGAAATCGTTTCATTCCTTTTATTTTTCGACGTCTAACACTCATTTTTTCACACACTACATTCTTATGTTTATACGTCTTTTTTTTTTCTTTCAAAATGGATAGATCATTTTGTATTATTATTTTTCTCTCTTCTATCTTATCTCTTTAAACACGTTACATCTAACACTCTCAACTTTCTTCATCTTCTTCTCAATTTGCTCAGAACTCTAAACTGCATTTCATTTTTATTCTTTCAACTTTCTTCATCATTTTGTCTCTAAATCTATTATCTCTTTGCATTTCGGTGGCAGATCTGCGTTTTTGTGGGGAGATGATGGTTGGAGCTGAAACATAAACGATAATACTTGTGTTTTTCGGTGATGAATTCTTCTTTGATTTTGGTTCACGGTGGCCACTAGTGAGTATTCTGAAACAAGATTGATTTCAACCTTCTATTTTTTTTCCTGATTTACTCTATTAATATGTTTTATATTTTGTGGATTTAGAGACTTTCCATCATGAATGTTGTTTGATATTTCGTGTTGTGAGATGTTGGATCGAACTCTTGTATGGTTGAATGATAGCTTCTGGTTCGACAGGAATTAAGCATGAGGTCGAAGTCTGTTCGCATGCTGCTGTCGAAGATAATGTGTGTTGTAGTCGAAGTTTGTTCTAACATGCATTAGTCAATATTGCTAGGTTGTTAGCATATTGGATTGGGTCTTCCTTGTAAGCTCAAGTGTTTAAGTTAGCTTGTACCCTAAGTAGCTTGTAATAGGTAATTGTTAAAAAGCCCATTAGATTAGTATGCTATTTTTCTTATAAATAAGATGCTAGTTTCTCAATCTTTGCATAAGAAAAAATAGGAAGATAAAATCCTAATTTCAAGAGAGAGAGAGGTTATATTGTTATTCTTGTATACTTGTAATCTTGTTCTAAGAGTAAGGAAAAAATAACAGTTTATAAACAATCCTTGTTGTTCCGTGTTGTTTTACCTTGTTTTCTTTGTTAACCCTAACCCTTGTGTGTTTCTTGATCATTAAGAAATCGTTTATACTTTGTTTCAAGACATATGATTCACAACAAATTGGTGTGGTGAGCATGGAAAATATGCCTTCAACAAAGTATGAGATCGAAAAGTTCACCGTAGTGAACGACTTCGGTCTGTGGCGCTTGAAGATGAAAGTCTTATTAGTTCAACAGGGTTGTTTGGAAGCTTTGAAGGGAGAGGCAGCTATGGACGCTGCATTAAAGACAAAAGAAAATAGGAGCATGATCGAGAAAGCCCACAACGCAATATTATTGAGCCTTGGTGATAAGGTTCTTCGACAGGTATCAAAGGAGACTACAACATCGGGATTATGGGTGAAACTTGAAAGTTTGTACATGACCAGATCTCTGGTGAATCGACTCTACCTGAAGCAAGCTTTGTATTCATTCAAGATGAGTGAAGACAAAGTGTTGGCTGAGCATTTGGATATGTTCAATAAGTTGATTCTTGATCTTGAAAATATTGATGTGAAGATCGATGATGAAGATCAAACAGTGTTGCTGCTGTGTGCTTTGCCCAAAACACATGCTCACTTCAAAGAAACTCTCTTGTATGGAAGGGAGTCCCTTACCTTTGAAGAAGTTCAGTCAACCTTGTATTCTAAGGACTTGAACGAACGAAAGGAGCATAAACCTTCGACGGTGGACGAAGGTTTGACCATTAAGGGAAAATTCTTGCGAAAGGATGGTAAGTTCGACAAGAAGAAAGGTAAACGTCAAAAGAAATATTATAGTGGTGAAACATTTGGTATTCAATGTTATCACTGTAAGAAGGAGGGTCACACAAGAAAGGTGTGCCCTGAACGCCTGAAAGATCATTGAGGTAATGGTAACGCAGCTATTGTTCAAGATGACTTCGACTCATCTGATGTTCTTGTGGTTTCAAGTGGCGACTCGAGAAAAGAGTGGATTATGGATTCAGGTTGCACTTGGCACATGACTCCAAACAGAGAATTGTTCGAGGAGCTATGTGATCAAGATGGTGGATCTGTGCTGCTGGGAAACAATAAATCTTGCAAAATTGCAGGTATTGGATATGTGAGATTCAAGCTCCATGATGAGTCAATAAGGTTATTGACTGAAGTCAGGTATGTACCTGACTTGAAGAGAAATTTGATTTCTCTTGGTGAATTCGATAGAAAGGGATATGTTTTTAAGGAGAGAAAAGTATCCTAAGAGTCGTGAAAGGGTCGAAGGAAGTCTTGAGAGGCGTGAAGAAACAAGGCTTGTATACCCTTGAGGCTGAGGTTGTAAGTGGTTTGACAAATGTTGCATCCACGAAACCTGTGTCAAAGATAGGATTATGGCACATGAGATTAGGTCATGTTAGCGAAAGAGGCCTAGTCGAATTGGGGAAGAAGAACCTGCTAGGAGGTGACAAAGTCGAAGAGTTGGAGTTTTGTGAATCTTGTGTATTTGGTAAATCCTGTAGGGCGGAGTTTAACAAAGGCAAGCAAAGAGCACATGGATCCTTTGATTACATTCATGTTGATCTTTGGGGGCCTGCAAGGAATCCTTCACACTCAGGTGCAAGGTATTTTTATTCCATCGTTGATGATTATTCCAAAAAGCTATGGGTATTCATTCAGAAGACGAAGGATGAAACTTTTAAGAATTTCAAAAGTTGGAAGATTTTGATCGAAACTCAAATTGAAAGAAAGGTTAACAGGTTGAGAACCAACAATGGCCTTGAATTCTACAAAGAAGCGTTCGACAATTATTATGTTGAGTCTGGGATTGCAAGGCTTAAGACTGTAGCATGTACTCTTCAAAAAAATGACTTAGCTGAGAGATTCAATCGAACAATCCTTGAAAGGGTTAGGTGCATGTTGGTTAGTGTTGGATTAAAAAGGTGTTTTGGGCAGAAGCTATTTCGACAACAACTTACCTGATAAATAGATGTCCCTCGACTTCCTTGGGAATGAAGACACCTGAAGAAGTTTGGTTGGGACATCCACCTAGTCTCGACAGACTAAGAGTATTTGGCTGTGTGTCCTAAGCTCATATTAGGCAAGACAAGGTCGAACCTAGAGCTCTGAAATGCATGTTCATGGGATACCCTGAAGGAGTCAAATCTTATAGGCTATGGTGCCTAGAGCCAGGTCACAGGAGGTGTGTCACCAGTCGAGATGTATTTTTTAATGAAGTAGAGATTGCTTTCAAGAAAACTGATGATGTTGATGAAGAGCTGGAATAGGGAGAGATTCCTGTTGAGGTGGAGCTTGTTGATGCTGAATTACGTACCCCAGATGAAGTCGAAGAAGATGCAGAAGATATTGTCGAAGATGAGGAGACTGATAATGACTACCTACTAGCAAGAGACAGGTCGAGGAGAGTCATCAAGCCACCTCAGAGACTTCGGTATGCAGATCTTATAACTTATGCGTTAATCTCTGCAAGTGAGGTTCTAGACGAAGAACCTAGAGACTATAAGGAAGTTATGAGAATTTGAAAGAAGATTGAATGGATGAAGGCCATGGATGATGAGATGAAATATCTTCATGATAACAATACCTGGAAACTGATCAAGAAACCTGCTGGATCCAGGTTAGTCAGCTGTAAATGGATTTTCAAAGTTAAGGAAGGAATCGAAGAAGTGGCATCGAAGAGATGCAATGACGTGTTCTCTCTTGTAAATAGACTTCAATGATGTGTTCTCTCCTGTTGTGAAGCATATATCCATTCAAATGTTGCTTGCCATAGTGGCACAGTTTGATCTTGAACTGGAACAGATGGATGTAAAGACTAAGTTCTTGTATGGTGACTTATATGAAATAATCCTGATGAGGAAACCTAAAGGGTATGTCGAAAAAGGGAAGGAAGATTATGTGTGCAAGCTGAATAGATCATTATATGGACTGAAACATTCTCTTCGACAATGGAATAGGAGATTCGACAAGCTCATGGCATGCATAAGTTTCATCAGAAGTCTGTTTGACCATTGCGTTTACTTCAAATTTCGACCGGATAATTCATTTGTTATTTTTGTTGCTCTATGTTGATGATATTCTAATAATAAGCAACAATGTTGAAGAGGTAATGAGGGTGAAGGCTGAACTCAATAAGGAGTTCAACATAAAGGAGGGAGCTGCGTCCAGGATTCTTAGGATTGACATCTGAAGAGATAAAAAGCAGTCGAGATTATGCTTATCTCGAGAGGCATACCTATGGAAGATTCTTGAAAAGTATGTGTTGCACCCCAAAATTTGCCCAACATTTTCTTAACTTGGTTTATGTTTCATTTCATTTCTTTCTAGCATTTGCATTGCATAGCATTTTTCATTGAACAAGGGATCAAGAGGTTGTGCATAGCAAGAGGAGTCTACTCAGAGGGTTGAGCATAAACAAGGGATGTTACTCAAGTTTGAATGGTCATCAAGTCATCTAGAAGCGGGCAATAGTCTTGTGAAAGGATTGTGAATTCATGATTATGGATATAAGATCATCAGAGGATTGTGAATTCATGATTATGGATATA